GTGTTTGGTACCCCCCTGCATTTTACATTCTGTCCCTCTTCCCGCTCTCGAAGCCCTCCCTCAAGCTGCCAGTTGGGATATTTTGATCGAGAGCAGTACACATAAACAATTACACTTTGTGACATTTGATATAGTGAGCCCAGAAGGCTAGAGATGGCTTTAGTAAATAATATGTGGCCAGATGAAAACACTTGGAATGTTAGGTAGGAAAAGATCAGAAAACTGGTCTTGGCAGATTCATTTTTTTGGGTCTAGAGTCAAAACCAGAGAAGGCAATGATCAACAGCTTTTACAGAACTGCCGATTTCTCCGTATATTTTTAGAGTATGGGATTCATCTAATTATCAATGTCCATCTGATAGATATACCTGTTTTCTTTTGCCTAATTAGATCTTGGACATGAAAATTTTAATGCTAATGCATCAGTACTTCGATCTAAGATTGAACCCCAATTAAGTAGTAGTGGGGGTTATAAAGTGATTTCAAAAGGGTCTGAGAAAAACTCGTTATATGACAAAATTATTTGTATATGACTTTGTCCACTTGCAACTGGTCCATAGCTTTCATTAGATTCCCGAAGGGGACTACTGCCCTTCTCAAGATGAGAGAGAATCACGAGAATCGAACAGCCCTACTTTCCCACAATCCCTCAGTGATGTCTTAATTACCAAGTTCAATGCCCTTTGCTTCTTTTCTCTGTATCTCTCCCTCTCTCCCTCTCTCTCTTTCTCTCTTTATTGCTTATGGATAGCAAATTGCTATAGACAATCCTCCCTTTCTAGAAATTCCTCTAATTTTTGAGATTATCATTCTGTTTCCTTCTTACCCTCCAGCAAGCTCCTTCTCGGTCTCCTTCAACTACTGGTAAATGAAAAGATGACCCAACATTCTGTTCTCTCCCACTTCTGTTCTCACCTGGATGACTCCCCTCATTTCAATTTGCATTGATTCACATTGGACACTGTTAGCCATGTCCACCCTCCTGAATAGTAGGCCTTTCCCTTAGCATACAGATATGTTTCTACCAAGTACACAAGTTTAGAAAACCCAGGTTCAGCTCTGAAAAAATACCAAATCCATCTTCTTCCATCCATCTCCGCTACCATCACCCTCCCACCAAAATTAACACTATCACTTGGATGACAGCAACTGTTTTCTAACTGCTTGATTCACAACTTCTGTTAAATCTTCCTTCTCTCTCTTTCTCATTTTTCCCTTCATCTCATGAAAAATATAGTATCTTTTCATTATAAAGTCTGACTGCATTAAATCCTGCAACATTTTTCTATTCTTTTCTGTACAAAGTCAAAATCTTCCCACACCTGTGCCATCCCTGTTGAGTCCCATATTTTCTCTTGGCTTCAGCAGTTTTGTTATTCTCTTGACTGGTTCCTCTTCTCCTCTACAATATACTTACCACATTTTGAAATCATGATTCTGACTACATTACTCAGGGCCCATTGAGTACATTCATTGTTTCTTTGCTGCCAGTAGGAAAAATCCAGTAACCTTTCAAATCGTACCAGGTTGCAAACACTTCTTTCCAACTTACTTAACATTATTTATATTCACAAAACATATACTACTAGTTTCTTTCTTACCACTTTTTTTTATGTTTCTGCCTTTAATTACTTTTTTCCCTCTATTTGGAAAGCTCTTCTTCCATTTTTAAGCATCAAAACATTACCTAATCCTAAAAATAAAAGGTTAGTAAAAAATAATACTACCACCAGAAAGTCTTTTTCGGCAGTACAAGTAAGGTTTACATGCTTTGAACAAAATCTTTCATGTATGCTTTCTTAATACATTATTTTTTTTAAGATTTTATTTATTTATTTGACAGACAGAGATCACAAGCAGGCAGAAAGAGAGGAGGAAGCAGGCTCCCCAAAGAGCAGAGAGCCCAATGTGGGGCTCGATCCCAGGACCCTGGGATCATAACATGAGCTGAAGGCAGAGGCTTTAACCCACTGAGCCACCCAGACACCCCAATACATTATTTTTTAAAAGATTTTATTTATTTATTTGTCAGAGAGAGAGGCAGAGGGAGAAGGAGAAGCAAGCTCCACACTGAGCAAGGAGCCCGATGAGGGACTGGATCCCAGGACCCTGGGATAAGCTGAAGGCAGGTGCTTAACCCTCTGTGCCACCCAGGCATCACAGATACATTGTTTTTTGTGTTTTTTTAAAGATTATTTATTTATTTATTTATATGACAGAGAGAGAGAGAGATCACAAGTAGGCAGAGAGGCAGGCAGAGAAAGAGGGGGAAGCAGGCTCCCCGCTGAGCAGAGAGCCCAAAGGGGGGCCGATCCCAGGACCCCTGAGACCACAACCCGAGCCGAAGGCAGAGGCTTAACCCACTGAGCCACCTAGGCACCCTACATTGTTTTTTCTACTGTGAATTACAGTTTGGTTTTTTACACACACACACACACACACACACACACACACACACACACGTAACCCAGTATTCTGGGTAATAAGCTTCTTGAATGCTTTCCCATTTCTAATTAATCATTATCTCTTTGGTATTTCTGTTACCTTTGATAAATAAATTGCTCTTTCCCTACTGAAAAAAAAAAGTTGTTGGTTCACATTTGTTTATGTAGAAAGATCCAAATTTTTCTGCATGGATTCAAAGTCTATTTTCTTTTTCATTGCAACACCACTGCCATGCACAATTTCTCTTATAAAAACAGAGCACTTATTTTTCCCCAAACACATCACACACTCATACCTTCCAGCTTTCACTCTTTATTATTTGTACTTCAATAGTTTGTCCCCAAGGACCCTGTTCTCTGAACAAGTCTGGATGAGGTGCCTCTCTTAAGTTTCCCTATAGTGTTTTGTGCATTTCAACTTACCACACTGTTTTTGTGGTTTACTTTTTGAACTGCCTTTCTGCTTATCAATTCTAAATTCCTGGAATGGAGAAATATTCTCTGAATCCTTAATACCAAGAGTACCTGGAGCATAATAAGTGCTTGCTAAGGTGTTTGGAAAGGATAAATAACTGCGCAATTATCATTTAGAATTCTACTCACTGTTCAGAATTCATCTCAAATTTCACCTCGCTATGTAAGTCCATCAGGATCCCCCAGTTGGAATTAATCTTTCTTCTTCCTACAGACCACAACTCCCCTTTTAACCTCTCTAATGGGATGTTTTGTATTGCATTTTGTACATTTGTTAGTTATGTATGTACCTACCATTAGTTATGTATGTACCTACCATAACCATGAGTTATGTATCACCCTCCCAAGCTCCAGCATTTCCTTCTCTAGAAAGCTTTCCTTGAAACCTGCCACCTAGGCAAAATCTCTCCTGACCTCTCATAGCTCATAATATATTATGATATCATATTCAAATGATTTATCATATTTAAATTTTAGTACCTAATGTGACCATCTTAAAGCCTACAAGGGAAGTCTTTTTAACACCTATGTCAAGAAAAGTACTTGATTCAGTCATAATTAATGTTCAACTTACTAACTTGAATGATGATCCATTATTTTTGTACACCTCAGGGGATTGTCTAGAGCAATGAATGTAGAAGATAGGCAGTCAGTGTTTTATAAATGAATGAATGACTTAACATGGGTAAATTATTGATATAAATTCCATTTTTGTCTTTTAAGATGAATGAAATTCTCCAGACTATTCATTAGTTTAAGCATATTTTTCTGTATTTTCTGATTTAGGCTATATTTGTTCAATGTGATTGGCTCAATGTAAGATATCCAGTGCATTAGTTTTCTAATAAATTTTATATTTGAACTTAATATATTACTAAATGCCTCAAAACCCTGGCCACTGTTTAACCTTTTCTTCTTTTAGTTCTAAAAGTAGTATTACAGACAGAGGGAGGCGGCCTCTAGGATAAGTGGTATCCATATTCACCTACCTGGCTGCCAGAAATTGGAATCGTGGAATTGTTTTTTAACCCTGACCAGGATTTACAAATTGAAAATGTCATTGTAAATATGCAAATATTATGGAAATGTTCTTACTGATTAGGATAATTTTAAGAAACCTAATTATGTGTCTGGCCTACCCATCTGTGAGAGCAGTCAATCAATGAACTGGTTATCATATTTAGATTAAAAGCTATTAGAAAGGAATAATACCTTTAAAAAAAAAAAACCAATAAGCTCAAGAAATGCTAAATGCTAATGTCAAGTGACCCAGAGAACTACAGCAAATTTTGTCTTTGTTTAAAATCACAGAAGTTGCATACAGATTATAAATAATAGCCATCCATCTCTCTAAGTCCTGGGGCTATGAGTTCATGTACCCTATTGAAATGAACTAGAATTAAAACATTTTAAGTATTGGCGCGTAATATCTTTGGGGCTCCTGGGTGGCTCAGTGGGTTAAGCCGCTGCCTTCAGCTCAGGTCATGATCTCAGAGTCCTGGGATCGAGCCCCGCATCGGGCTCTCTGCTCTCTAGGAGAGCCTGCTTCCTCCTCTCTCTCTGCCTGCCTCTCTGCCTGCTTGTGATCTCTCTGTCAAATAAATAAATAAAATCTTAAAAAAAAAAAAAAACATTTTAAGTATTAGTGGAAATATAGGTGTGCCTCCTTGGATTTATTATAAGGTTTGATGAAATCCACTTTTATCATTGTAATACCAAAAGCAAGAATGAAGTCTCAATATTTATGGTTTATTATAAGTGCTCATATGCAGAACTCACTGCCCCCTCTTTTTTTTTTTTCTTTTTTTAAGGGGACACAACAACTGAGAAACATGCTTTTGTTTTCAAAATTTTCTATTTGCAGCAGCTGTTCTGTATTGGCTTTTCTCTTTGCTCTTTTCTTTAAAAAATATATCCTCAGCATTATATTTCTTTGCTTTGTTTTATATCAGTGCCATGACCTATGGGTTTTAATCAAAGTTACTGGATGGCAGACAAAGTGTGCTATTCCTAAAGTATGAATTGCTTGCCATTGGTATAAATCGATCATTGATGTATTTGTTTCCTTTATTTTTTCCCAAGGAGTTGCAACAGTATCTTGCTAACCTGGCTGAACAGTGCAGTGCGGATAATAATGGTGTAGAACTCCCCGTTGTAATAATTCTTGATAATCTTCATCATGTGGGCTCTTTGAGTGATATCTTCAATGGTTTTCTCAACTGTAAATACAACAAATGGTATGCTTATGAAATATTTTGAGTGATGAAATATGAAAAAAATGACCAGATTTGTTTCTAATGTCTTTATACCTTTTTAAACCTATGGTGGATGCCATGAATTTAAGAAGCCTTCATTAATATTAGAACATATTTCCCCCCAAAAACAATCCCTGTGCATTTCTTGAAACATCTATTTATTCATTCAGCAATTATGTTCCAAGCAACTTTTATGGAAACATGATTTACTTGATGGCATTAGCTTCTATGGATATGTGGAAGGTCTGGGAGACCAATGTCAATGACAGAACATTTGGATCAAGGAAATTAAGAATTAAAATGAAGCTCTGAGCTCTGGTTTCACTTTTCCTCCATATCGAAGTTTAAATTCAACCTTCTGTAAAGATAAATTTAACGCATTCAGATATATCATCATTAATGAGTCTAACTTTTAACTATTTACAATGAAAGTAAAGGTTGAAGTAGGGTATAAAAAAATCTGAAAACCCACTAAAGATGGCTTCTAAAGGAAAGACATATAAGAGCAACCTAAATATTAGTTTTAATGGTGCAATATCCCTATTAATCTCTGCTAGAGATTTTTTATATGTTAAAAGTAGATCATCATAAGATCAGCTTTGAAACAAGAATACAAATGTTCTCGTCATTAAGAAACTTTAAAATATCTATGAAATAATGAAAGAGGGAAAATTAATGAATTTGGTTATAATCATAAGAGTCACAAGATGTTAGAGTAAAATGAGATTACTGTGATTATTCCATCTAACCTTTTTATTTTATAGATGAGTAAACTCAGGCTCAGAAAGGTAAAATGATTCTCCTAGGATGCTAGAGCTGAAATTAGAAGCCCAAATCCAAATTTCCAGCTCAATGATCTGTTATTTTTCCACCTAACATTACAAAATCACCCTCTTAAAGCCTAATGTTAATTGGAATAATCCATATTTACCTACATTGTTTTTTAAGGCAATTTTAATAGACTAGTCTCTTCTACCTTCAGCACATCAACGTATTTAATTTTATTTTCCAGTCCATATATTATTGGAACAATGAATCAGGGAGTTTCTTCATCACCAAATCTAGAGCTGCATCACAATTTCAGGTAAAGATAAATTGAATGCTTTGTTTTGTTTTGTTGTATTGTCTCTTTCTGTTTGCTTTTGGTTAGTGTTTTTCCATTTGTACATTGACAGATCCTTCCAGTGGTGACCTGTGGTGTGAAAATAATTCTCACTTCTTCTGACACTCTTTCTCAAGCAGACATTTTGTGATCTTCAACCTGTAATCGGAATTGTTTCTTTAAAAAAAAAAAAAAAGAAAAAAAGAAAGAAAGAAAGAGAAAAAAAAGAAAGGAAGGGAAAGAAATGTTTGTCCTGCTCACTATGTCACCAGCTAAAGTAGAGCACTTTTCTTCAAAGTGTGAGGAATGTGAAGAGAGTTCCTATTTCAGGATTTGTGATTCTCCTACAGAAGAGTACTCAGCATGTAGACTCCCACTCACTTCTGACGCACATGAGCTTTGCTTTAGCTTAAAAAGAAAAGTTATTTTGTATACCTCTAATGCTAAGAGATCTCCTAACCCCTTTGATCATTAAAATGAGCCACCAATTGACACAGGAACATTCTTTATTTATATTGGAAAGAGAATACTGTGGACTTAAAACTTAATTTATTTAAAGATTTCTGAATATATATATGTATATATATATATATATATATATATGTATATATATATAATTTTTTTTTTGTCTTTTTGTAGGTGGGTGCTATGTGCAAACCACACAGAACCAGTGAAAGGCTTTTTAGGTAGATACCTTCGAAGGAAACTGATAGAGATAGAGATTGAAAGGAATATACGCAATAATGACTTAGTCAAAATTATAGATTGGATTCCTAAGACATGGCATCATCTCAACAGTTTTTTGGAAACACACAGTTCTTCTGATGTTACCATTGGTGAGTTCCAAAACTGCAATATGCCATTTTCCAGGAACTAAGAGTACGTGGTAAAATGGCCAGATTGGATGGTAGAAAATAACAAGCAAAGCTAATTTTTTTCATGCTCCCAAAGATTTAAGTTTTCTTTTTTCCTTCTGAAAGTTTGCCTTCTTCTAAGCTTTATATGTCTGATTAGATTCATTATGCCTGACAATTATGGTTTTCTAAGATTTGACTGAAATCACATGAGTTTAATATAGCCAAATATTTAAAAATCAGATAACCACTTGAAATAAGTTATATCTGTTTAAATTCCCTTTTTATGATAAAAAACAAATTTTAGCCAATGGTTCACATCAAATATAGTTATGAGAGAAGATTTTAGTTAGAGATAATTTAGGTGTTTTATGGATAACTGAGGTGTTTTATATTTTTCATCAAGGCAAAACTGAATTAATTCTCTTTGGTTGGCATAAAAATGTTTATTTTTCTAATCCTTCTTAATTGCATGTATAAAAGTCTCTTTCCTATTTTGCTGGATTATAAAGATATGTTCACCAAAGATATAAGGTAAATGAAAAAGAAGAATTTGATAATTGAGATCAAAAGACCAAAGCTGAGTCCCACTCTGCAAATAATAACATATTTTATACTTGGGAATTTAGTTCAGCACAATTTCATCATCTATAAAGTGGGGCAGGTTGACTGGATTATGACCTTTAGGATTTCTCTTAATTCTAATAAGTTATGTTCTTATGTTAAGATTTTAGGGTAAAAGGAAGAGGAGTTCAGGAGTTTGAGTCTTCAGAAAAACATACTTTGATAATAATCAAGATGGCTAAGATTGTAATTGTTTAAGAATCCTGCAAGATATATTATTAATTCCCCCCAAATTATGTCGCAAATATTTATGTGTTTAGGTTGTTACATGTAATGGTTCTCAAAATGGTTTGCTTCTTCTTAGGGCCCCGACTTTTCCTTCCTTGCCCTATGGATGTAGAAGGTTCTAGAGTGTGGTTCATGGATCTCTGGAACTATTCTTTGGTACCTTACATTCTGGAGGCAGTGAGAGAAGGTCTTCAGGTATAGTATTCAATATTCTTTACTGTTTAAAAACAAGCAAAATCGTCCTTTGAAGCAAAAAACATTCTTTTCTCTGGGTATTTATACAGAAACTGAAGGCATGAACTATATAAACATATTGGTCAAGTTTTAAAGATCAACTAGTATGTAACTATTTATTGTGTATTCTGTTCTGAAAATAAATATGTGGGAGAAGGAGAAAACCTTTATTCCAACAACTACCCATTTAAGGCCAAACAAACTCATTGCCATGAGAATTAGCAATCATTGAAAGCCAGCTAATTGGACAGTTCTGTATCTTATAAGACAGACATGTTAAATGGGCCTTGATCATTTCTTCTCTTAACATATAGTTTGCAACAAGTAGTTTCTGCTTACTGGTTCCCTGTTTTTAGTATGTTTCATTGTTTGAAACCCTTTAACCTCACTCGTAGGATCCTTTACTATTTTGAGGGAATGCTCTACATTCTAAGGCAATTGACTTTTTAAAATCTATGGCAGGTTGATTTAGCAGCATTCCTGCTGTTCCTCTCATCTACCTCATGTCATGAGGCCCTACGCTGTCTCTTCTATGTACTCTGAATGGAAAATTCAAAATACATCACTAATAAGAAAATTCTGTTTCTCAACGAAATTTACTCTCTCCTCAAATTGGATTTGAGCTTTCATGAAATTGTAGAATTGTAAACCTCAAGGTTGAATCTTTAAGATTTTTAATTCATAATCATCCAGCTTATTGTAAAGAATTTAATCTTTTTTACAACTCGGCCAAAGTTTAGGAAGTTTTTGCTTAGGCATCTCTATCTCTGATTATTGCAACTGCTACTAGAATTAAGATACAGTTCTTGCTTTTCACATTTGTCATCTGCAATAGTGCATTAGGTATTTACCCTTTAAAAAGTCACTGGTGATCTATACTCCTTCCTATCCTTTCCTTTGAGCGGCCCACTGTCCTCACCTAGGAGAGCAGAATGGCAGTATTTAGAACCATCACGATGGTTCTGGTGAACACGATGAATAAATATTTGGAAGATGTGCTCAGAATCTTCAGAGATAATGATCCTAGAGCATGCTATCTATTGGTTTTATTCCAGATTTAAGTAATACAGTTTCCTATTTGAAGGCTATGAGCCAGTTGTTGTTTGGTTCCAATAAAATAAAAGACTATACCAAAGGTTTATATTTTTTAAATATAACATCTCACTTTTCTGGGTTCCTCTGAAACTGTTATGCTATAGTGTGAGTTGAATTTCTCAATGTCAATCATTTTATACAAAAAAGAAATTTATGTGAAAGTTTATAATATGCTAGAAGTCATATTTTTAAAACCAATATTTATTTATTTATTTATTATTATTTTTTTAAATTTCTTTTCAGCGTAACAGTATTCATTGTTTTTGCATCACACCCAGTGCTCCATGCAATACGTGCCCTCCCCAATACCCACCACCTGGTTCCCCCAACCTCCCAACCCCCGCCCCTTCAAAACCCTCAGGTTGTTTTTCAGTGTCCATAGTCTCTCATGGTTCACCTCCCCTTCCAATCTCCCTCAACTCCCTTCTCCTCTCCATCTCCTCATGTCCTCCATGTTATTTGTTACGCTCCACAAATAAGTGAAACCCTATGATAATTGACTCTCTCTGCTTGACTTATTTCACTCAGCATAATCTCTTCCAGTCCCGTCCATGTTGCTACAAAAGTTGGGTATTCATCCTTTCTGATGGAGGCATAATACTCCATAAATGAAAGTTCTCTTCATATAGTTTCAGTATTAATAAGCTGTCATCCAAGTTTTTACGTATAAAATCTCTTTATTTCCCATGTGTTTGCTAATACAGATAAAGGAAAAGAAGACTGCATAAACTCAAAAATAGCAATACCTAACACTGCTTAGCTTCTTTAAGTCTAATTTTTTAAAAACTGTTTCAGTTCTTTTTTTAAAAATGTTTAAGTCAATATTATTTTTAAAACACTATCCGGAGAATTAGAATTGTATACAGCTTCCATTTAGGCAAAAGTATAACTCTTAGAGTAATACCGGTTTCCCAGACGAAAACTAAGAGATAGTTCAAAATTATTTTTGAAGAGGAGAAAAAAATGTCTCGTTTCTCTTTGTGGTTCTAGATGTTTAGTAGTCGGTTAGTGTAAATGCAAATCAACCGTAATGTGTAGGGAATGTAGGGGGGAAGCCCAGTACCCAGGAGAGATAAGAAAAAATAAGTAGACATTTCTCATTGCTACTGAAGGATGTGCTCAGCCACAAGCCCATTGGCAGATGATATTTCTGGGGTGTTCCATGTATGTTTTCTATAAGAAAAGGAAGAAAAGGAATCATGTGTATTACGAACAATTCCCTTGGATCTACTGGTAACAAAGAACCTTGAATTGGAACAAGAGGTGAAAAACAAAGTCTTCTTGCAAAGATGAAACTCTGAGTTGAGTGGAATAGAAAAATCTCTTTTCAAATGCATGCTCTGATGAGGAACCATAGGGAATGTTCTCTGCCAGATGTTCTAGTTGGAAGAAAACACCGGTGATAAAATGGATTCTGATTTTCATTCTGATGATTCTACCTTTATCGAAATGGCAACAACAAATTCATATTATTCTAATTATTTAAATATTTAATATTTTATAATTTTATAATATTTTAATATTTAAATCTTCTTTCAATTATTTTTCTATAATATCTGTTCTACACTGAAATTTAGTATTGGACCTATTGAGCATTTTATTGGTCACCTCCAATTTTGCTGTCTTGTATGATTCTTTAAAGGGCTGGCATCAGTTGATTCTAGACCTTCATATTTTTTGTATAAAATTTACTTTCCGAGAATGACACATTTTCCTTCAGTTAGCTTAAGTTGTATGGCAAGCTGTGTCTTTTGCTTTATAAAGTAGGTTTTTAACTGAGAAAAACTTTTGCTTCAAAACTCTCGCTAGCCATAAAAACTATATATCTGTTATATAGTGATAGTGATTGCTACTCCTGCCTTCATCTCCCAAGGGATATGCAGATATCAGGACCTGGCCTGTTGCTTGCTTGCTTGCTTTCTCTTTGTCTCTTTCTTTCTTTCTCTTTATCTCAAGGCAAGGCTGACACAACCTCATACAGTTCCTCTGGAAGAAACCCGAAAGGTAACTCCAAGGCAATTCATGTGCCTTCTGTGGTGTCAGTATCCACCATTTTGCTTTTGATCACTGACCCACAGTAGGCCATGTAGAAAACCTCCCAGTGTGCTGAGACCATATATGCACCTGGTAACCAGGCTTTTAGGAGGGAGGGAGGAGGAGGTCAAGGCAGGGGGGATAGTACATCAAAGACCTAGTTTGCCCATGTTACTGCCCTCTTCTCTTCATTTTAGCTTTTCTTTCTGTCCCCCTGCAGCCTGGTACTTGTTTATAAAGTCCATTCCACCTCTGTTTCTGCAGTGTGCCCTTCCTAATTAAAAATTTGTAACATGTCTTACATTCATCTTCTCCCTTTCCTCCACTACCAGTACTTGAGCCATTATCACCTCTTTCTTACTGACTCTTTGCTTCCTTTTGGGTCCTGACAATATGAATGCTTTCATTTCCCATTTTCCTCTTCTTTTACTGTTGGCCTTATAAATAAACATCTAAAAAGAGTTTTTACAGGAACCAATGAGATTATTAGAGGAAATTAATGCAGAGAAAATGATTATCAGAGAAATTATTTTTATTTTCAAAGAAACTTTGAGTAGAGTGAGGTTGAAAAAGAGAAATTCTCTTATTGTATTTATCATCTTTGCAAAGTGCACCTTAGTAGAGAACTCTGTTTAGTGCCTAGCACAGCTTTCTTCAGTTCTCCATCACTGGAACTTTCCTTCCTCAACTGTGAGTTTTCTTTTGGTTTATAAAATCACTAATAAATATGGGCAGTGAATTCTATATGCATTTAAAATAAATCCCCTTTGTACTCTCTCCCAAATGCTGACTATCTATCCCAGATGTTCATCTTTATTTTATCTCTCCTTCAAGTTTAAAGAGAGTTAGGTGGACAGACATATATTTACAAACTGGAAAATTGTATATGGACACAATTCTCTTGAAAGTTCCATAAGAACTCAATGTGCGAAGGAATCACTCAATTAGTGGTCACCTTTTTTACTGAGTAGGAATGTAGTAGATATGTATTAAATATGTAATCATTTTGTAGATGTATGGGAAACGGGCACCTTGGGAAGACCCCTCAAAGTGGGTGCTTGACACATACCCATGGAGCTCAGCATCTCTGCCTCAGGATGGTCCAGCATTACTTCAGTTGAGACCAGAAGATGTTGGGTATGAGGGCTGCATATCCACTAAGGAAGCCACAACCTCAAAGCACATTCCACAAAGTGACACAGAAGGGGATCCTCTGGTAAGAAGCTGATGTGTGATTCTTCTAATATAATCTTAACTACAGTGTGTTGTCATCAATATTTAGTCATTTGTATCAAAGATACTAGTTATCTTAGGTGGTATTTGGGACTGCTCTGATACAGGTATTCTGTTTTTAACTCTTTTTCCTTTGGCTTACTTTCCTTAGGTTAAATTCTTAAAAATGAAAGACCAAACTTATATGCTTAACAATCAAGAAACGCTAAAATCAGGCTGAACTCTGAGACCATAATTTTTATTTTATTATGCAGAAAATTATGTAAATTCATAAGTCTTCAACATTACATGACTCAACTCACTAGGTATTTAAGAGAAAATCAGATTTTGTTCTTAATATAATATTTTACATATATCAACTAGTCTGACTAGATTTACAATTAGTTTTTTGTTGCCTACAGTTGAGAAGACTAAACTGACTTGGAAATCAAAGGGAAGTTATTCTCCCTGATTCTCCCTGTCTTTCTTAATTTGTAGTTCTGTATGGTTTAATAAAGGTCAATAAAACTCCAAACTATGAGTACTCTGAGAATATTAAGTAAGTAGTATTATTAGGAAAAATATTTTATTTTTTTCATGTTTATAGATGAATTTATATAGATTGGTATCAGGTGTAATGCATTTATTAGCTTACCATTCTATGGTTACAGAAATCACTGGACCTGTACAATCAATACAGAAAAAAATACTGAAATAAAGGCCATTATGTTATTTAAAACAAAAAAGGAAATTATTAAAAATCATAACCTGTGACATACCCAAGAACATAAAGTGATTTGATATTTTTTTGGAATATTAGTATACTCACAACCCAACATATATACATTATCATCTCAGCTGACCAGTCTTAATATTTTGGTGGTTACATGTAAACAAGATGATAGATTTTTAAGATCTTTTCCAGGGCAAAAGACATGCGTGCGCGTGTGCGCACGCACGTGTGCACACACACACGCAGGCAGAAAATTGTGCATACTATTTCAAAGGGTTCCATAGAGTAATGGAAATATTTACAAAGGTCTGCTTAGAGTCCAGAGAACTCATATAGGACTTCCAAATTGGACTTTTGCTCTAGACCATAAAATCCTTAAGGGCCTGGATCTTTCTTTTTCTAACAGGTAGTTGGCCCTTTAGCTCATACATAACTTGAAATCAACAGTAATGGAAGAATTGGTTTAGATGCAGCATAATTGTGAGCAAATACTAATTGCCTATAGAATGGTTCATATTTAAGAGAAAATATTAACTTTAGGATACAAGTATGGGTTATTACATCTGAATTTTATAAACTCTAGTCTTGCCTTTGTGTGTTGATATACTGTGTCTGTTCCAGGTAAGGAGAAGCTTTATAGAGTTTGTTTTGAAAAATTAAACTGTCGAGTAAGGGACCCTTACGGGATGCCCTCAACTTCCCGGTTCCGATCAGCTAAACCCATTTAGCACTCTTCCCTGGCTCTGAATGCTCTTGTCTTCTAGTACAGAAAAGGGATCCAGAGTCTCCCATACTGAATAAAAACTGGGGTTAAAAAATCTGATTCTTAAATGGCTGCTCAACTAAACATCTTAAGAAACAGGAGATTATGGTGTGCTAAATAACAAAAGACTTATCATCTAAAAGTAAATCTTTGGATCAGGCACCTTCTGATAAGAAAATAAATATTCTATCTGCTTTTATTTTGTTATAGTTCTATAATTACTGATATCGAGTAAAAATATATTTGCAGTCCAATCTAAATCAAAAATATTTGGAAAAAATCCACTATTTAATGTCAGAAATATGTTGGATGTGAACAAGGATACAAGTTTTTGGTGCATCTCACAGTATTTTATTCCTCATCAACAAATGCATTCATTCTTTCAACAAGTATTAATAAGTATATCCTCATGGCTAAGACTTGGTAGATAAATAAAAAAGATAAATAAAGTACCATTTTTGGTCTCAAGAAGCTCAAGGTTCATTACTGGAAAGAGAAGTCTACCTATTTAAATTACAGTAAAATAATGGTAGAGTCACATGCTAGATAATGTTGTGAGTCCACTGAGGAAGTGATTAGGAAAAAGCTTTATAAAGGAGGAGACTCTTGAGCTGCGTCTAGAAGGAAGAACAGATGTTCCATCATGTGATTGGATGGAGAACATCCAAAATTAAGGAAGCAGCAGGTGAATTTAGAACACTGTAAGAAAAATGAATATGAATAAAAATGCTATCTGCAGATTGATGGGATTAGAACAAAAAGGGCAAGAAAAGTTAGAACTACAAAGTCTGCAAGAAGAAATAGAGCTACAAAAGTCTGCCAAGGCTTGTTTATCTTTGTAGGAAGTTAAAACTTTATCACACAGATAATGAAGAGCTATCAAAGGTGTTTGGGCAGGGGACTTTTATTATCTGGATTTGCGGGTTATAAAGATCTCTTTGGTAACAGAGCAGAAGACAGATTAAAGAAGAGAGGATGGAGGCTAGGAGCCCAGCAGATTGGTAATAGCAGAGGTGATAAGGAACTGAGCAATGTGTTACAAATGATAGACATTATATTTATGATTATGAATGTGGGGAAAGCAGAGGAGAGGAGAGGAAGGACATTCTTTTGCAGAGAATAATGATCTATCCCAGTGACTATTGGATCATATTTGTAACCTTGCCCCCTCTTGTAATCCCCTTTGACTTGAATGCACAAAGCAACACTATGAGAAGGCAAATTAAATCCCATGTGTACATTTATTATGAATCTAAGACTTGGAACTTAGTCTAATAAAGTGTATTTACTATATGGCACCATTTTAAAAAATCAAGACTTTAGATGCTTCTATTACACCATAAAACTTCTACAGCATTCAGCATTCAAGTGATTTCAAATATTTGACTGAGGTTAGAATCATAACCCTTAAAATAGACCTCATTTACAATTTCTACTCTTAGTAAATCAGGAGGACACTCAACACACAATGGTCTTTTACAAATTATCTTCACTCAAATGCTTGAACATACAGCCAGTGACTAATGATGGAGGAACTGATATCAGAAAGGAGGGAGGCAATATGAATGTGCATGGGGTGGGCGGTGTGGGTGAGAGACAGAGAGAGAGATAAGAAGAGAGAGAAAGTACATGTTTATGGAGACATTTGGCTTTTGCTTTATTGGGTTTGACAGGCTGTCACTACTTTCATTTCATGTCTGTATATAGTTGATTTAATAAATTCAGAGAGTTAGCCTAACAATTATATTAAAAAATGTTGTCTTGAAGAATATTAAAATGACTTTAAAATATGCTATCTCTGTAGCCTCTCTGTCAGAAAGGCCTGCTTGCTAAAATTGTTGATTATCATCTATCATCTATTTCACAGGCATTTATTGAACATGCATTTTACACAGAACACACAAGCATCCATAGCCTAACATATGTCTAAGGAATCCTTTTTTTAGATTTCTCTTTTTTATTGGATCAGATTCTCCAGTCCTCTAATTTGGGAAAGAAAAAAAGGAACAACTTGGATTACTTTATAAAATAATAAAATGACTATGCATTAAACAATATAAAGATTAGGACCACTTCTAGAAACCCTCGACAAGAAAACAAGTCTTACTTCTTTCATGAAGACCCATGCCAGTTTTCCTGCACTTTCTAATAAAATCATTGAACAGGTTATCCACAATTTGCTTTTAAGCAATCTTTCCTTTTTCCTCTAACAGTGGATCTGCAGATCTATCAAAAGCCAGCAAGCTGGCTGCCTTTTATTTTGTAGTACATGGAAACGCTAGCTGTATTTCTCCCCAGGTGCTCTCAGGCGTATGTCCCTTTTTCTGGAACAAACATTACCATTGTCCTATCAACGGGGAAACCCGAGACAGCTGCTATTGTTCCAGAAGGTGGCTTTTGTTTTCAGTGATAGATCGATCATATTTTAGCCAGAAATTCAACAACAACAGAAACTTGACAGTGATCCTCTCCCTCTCCCTCCTCAAACACTCATGGTCGGCTTCATTCAGTGACCCCTTTCGAGGTCAGCCCCTAAACAGCAGATGGTGCGTTTGTGTGCAGCAGCTGGCGTCATTCCACTCCATCCCCTCCTTCTCTCGCGGGAGCGTGTGCACGCGCTCGCGTGCGCGTCTGTGTGTGTATGAACATCCACGACTTTCACTTGCCATTCAATGCTTTCTGCTTCTCCGCGCCAAAAAGCTGAGAAGCTTGGCGTGCTCTCCAGCAACGAGCCCAGATGTCCAGCTGTGATACAGTTTCTTTCCCAGTCTCCCTGCTGGAGCCGTATTCATTCACAACCCCAAATAAAAGAGCTCTCTAGAGGCCCTGTTTGGTCCTTATGGTTTGGTGTCGTAGCCGTGTTCAGGCAGAACCGGGATAGGAGCCGGAGGCGACTCATGCAGACGTGACATTGTTTCCCCGTCTCCCTCGGATGGGATGAGGCGCGCTGCCTCCGTGTGGCTCCGGGCCGTGTGTTTTATGGGGCTGGCTGGCTCACTGCATCACTGCCTACATCGATGTCTCTTTTTCTTTCTTCAGATGAATATGCTAATGAAACTCCAAGAAGCAGCCAATTACTCGGGCACACAAAGCTGTGACAGCGATAGTACCAGCCACCATGACGACATTTTAGATTCATCTCTTGAATCTACTCTCTAGGGGGTGAAAGAAGTTAGGGGAAGAGAGGATGCTTTTGCTAAAGGTTTAACAAGGAAGGAAGGAAGGTATTTTCACGAAACCACTGCCAGTAGGAAAGCACCCTGTCAAGGGCCCTGACCCAGAGTCGTGGTCTCCGAGAAGCAGAGCGAAGTCTGAACCGCCAAGATGCTCGACTGAAACGCAAGCTTAACTTTATTTTATTTCTAGGCATTTTTTTTATATCCGTGGAGTGGTGTCCGGCTCCATTACTCAACTGGAAAGGACCCTAAGGACAGGGCAACTGAATAGATTGCACATGGGGTAGCCAAACTGGACTTTCTGTTTTTTCCTCTTTAAAAGTTTACAATGCAGCCCTTTCTTTGTCCCTTCCTTTCTTTTCCTCTGAGGGGGCCCGTCCTCCCCGAGCGGGGTCCCTTCTTCTCCGTCCAGCCTCCCTCGTGCCACATGGTGCTGGTTACAGGGCTCCAGCAGCGTTTGTGCTGGGCGCTCACCCCAGTCCGAAAGGAAGCCAAGAGGCCAGTCCTCCGTCAGCACAAGCGGAATCGCGCCACCGCCCGGCAGACGCGAGCACGGCAAGCTGGAGACGTGCCAATGTCATTCTTAACTGCCACGTTCACACGATGTGCTCCGCCAACTTTCTCGTGTATGAGTCACAGGTTTTATAAGGTTGTTTTTACCACAGGTTTTATAAGGTTGTTTTAAACCACCTGCCCACTCCCTTAACAAGAGTTTTATACCAATTATTAGTCAACACTGACAAAAGGCTTTCTTAGGGCTTTATTCGTTGGAGCCTTTTCAGTGAAAGAAGGAACATTTCCTATGGTGCTGTCTCACTGCCTTAAAACAGATTTCTATGACAGTTTAAGAGTTGGTTTAAATCCTAAACCATTGGTAATCTCCACTGTCTTTTCATTTCTAACCAAGCAACACAAGTTAACACAGTAGCCTCACCTCTAGATATCTGTTTCAGTTTTTGGGGTTTGGGGGTTCTTTTTTTTTTTTTTTTTTTTAAGAATTGGAGAAGAGAAAAAAAAAATCAGTGTTTTTGCTTTGGGAATAGATCATCTGTCCTCCAAAATGTTCAAGTTAACCCAGAAAACCTCTTTGACCCTCACTTCAAAGCAAAGACATGTGGCTCACCTCCATCCAGTTCTAGGCAAAAAAGTTGTAGAAGGAGGGAGAATGGGAATTCTTACCCAGCAGAGCTGGAAGCACTAGTTGCAACATGAGCACAACTATTTGGCTTTTCCTCCCCTACTCTTTTTATTCTTCTTCTTACTATTCCTCTTGGTTTTGAGCATGTTGTTTTGATTACTATCGTTGTACATGAGAAATTCAGCATTAAAGAACACTGAAGCAGTGACGTCACTGTGGAAGCGGAAGCGTTTATACTGTAAAAGAAGGTTAGATTTGCACAGTCTACTGGGTAGGTATTGTAAATAATCATTTAAAAAATCTTGCACAAATTGAAACAAACACACACACACACAAATGTACTTTAATCCTGTTGGTGTTAAGAGGTGTTTCACTTGCTGAGATTTCCTGTACATTGCAAACAAATACAGAATGCAAACCCTCAAAGCTGTTATTATCTGGTGTGTTTGTCCTGTATTTACAGTGGTTATGACGATGCAGGAGCTATCAGTGCTAGAGTGAGCATGCTTCAAAACTGTACATGAAGCCAATACATTTTTGGAAAAGTAAAAATGTCCGAAAGTGCATCTGTTGTGGCAGGCTTTAAAGAGCGTGCATGAAAACCAGTTGGGATCATGGGAGAAGTTACCACCACACACAAGAGGACGGGGTTTTGAGTTTTCCGAACCGAAGGGCTAGGCCATGCTGTAGACTTGTTCTAGGCGCGCGAAGATGGGTTGCTTTCGTGATGTGCCATTGGTGCTACTCTCTGTGACCACCCGTGGGTCAGTTGCTAGAGAACAACAACAACACGAGACCTCTGAGCCCTTTTCAGAGTGTCGCTAAGTCTATAGGTCCTACACGGTGCTATTGCCCCAAGGGAAAACTGAACTGAATTTATGCACATAGAATTGTCACCCTGACTTTGAAGCCTCAAACATGGATCAGAGCTGTCGTAAAACATCAGTATATGTAGCTGGATGAGTGACTAGTTGCCCTTGTATGATACGTGATCTAAAAGAAATTGCTAATCTTTCCCTGTCATTTTGAGAAACACAGTCCAAACATGATCATAAACACAAATTCCTGCAATACATCCCAGTAGGTTCACCTAGTTTACAACTTAAACTAGTTTGTGAAACATTTGTCTGTATACATTTTATATTTTGTACATTTTTGATGTAACATATCATGTAAATAGGCAGAAACAGTGAAATAAATCATCTGAAAAGTTTTGTAGTCTTTGTAAAGCCCCAATAATAAGTACTTGGTGTCAATGGACTTAACTGGATGATGTATTTTCTATTGGTTTATTGTTCCTCTAGCTTGTAAACCAGCTTGCATATATTTTTTTGCAAATGTGCACCCTGTATCTGTCTAAATTATTACTTTGCCATTAAAGTGGAATTATTTATTGACAACAAGGTGTGGTATCTATATATGGAGAAAAACTGAATAATCGTGCACCAAAAGTGTCCAGCCTTAAAATGTTGCTTGTACTATTTTTTTTTTAAGATGTCATTAATTTGACAGACAGATCACAAGTAGGCAGAGAGGCAGGAAGAGAGAGAGGGAAGCAGGCTCCCCGCTGAGCAGAAACCCCGACGAGGGGCACAATCCCAGGACCCTGAGACCATGACCTGAGCCAAAGGCAGAGGATTTAACCCACTGAGCCACCCAGGCACCCCTTCTTTGTACTATTAATGTGCCATCAGTAGGGATGTGTGTAAATGTTTCTTTTATATACCTTAGAGAGAGGACCACATAGCTTTGCGTAAATAAATTAACTAAAGGCCCAAGATACACTTTTTAATGAAGTTTATTCAGTGAATATTTTTAGGAAACTCTCACTAGTCTATCTAAATGCTTGATTATAAAATAAAAGTTACTATAAAATAGAAAGTTGATATTAGTTAAATCAACTTATTAAGTGTTTCTTTGCTTATATTTCACTAAATCCTCTACTAAACTTTTAGTTCTAAAAGATTATGTTAAAGCCAAATAATTTTTTTGGTGCTGCTTAACTTTTTAATAGAGATTAGAAAAAGAAAACTCCCTTTAAAATTAGACTTTTAAAAGAAATATCTTGAGCTACAACCCCAGTAATAAGAATGTACATTTGGATTATACATGTAGGGTTTTGGTTTTTAAAACAGGAAAACTTTTGAATTAGGACAGTTGTGGAGGGGGAAGGCATTAGTTAAAATGGGTCAGTCATCCAAAATTGGTGCATTCGTTTCTTCATTCACAGTTTGGAAAATGAAGGAAATTTCCACCTTTCATCCTAACCAGGTAAGTACTGAATTAATACAAAACTTGAATACAATTTTGACACATGCACTATAGGAATCCCGCTGTCATTCTTATGTGTGTGTGATGTTGGCCTGTTTACCCACGTTCTGGATGCCTCCGTTTCTCACCTATAAAATACTGATAGTAATAGTATCCCCCCTCTCACAGATTACCATGATGATCAAGTAAGTTATTACATCCGAATGCCTGGAACAGTGCCCAACATTTACAAAGCCCTCCATAGATGTAGCTGCTTTTACAACTATTATTATAAACTAATAATGACAAAATATGTATTAGACTATTTTGAAACATTCTTGAGAACAATGTGCGAAGCATTTCAACTTACTAAAAAATTTTTTAAAGAATTTATCTTTTAATTCCCTCATTTAAAAAAATGGAGTTTATAGTAAGCGTATCTACCTATAGGGATGCTGGGGGATTAGGTTTGGATCTGTAAAGCATTTAAAACAATGCCTACTCAGGAAAATTTGAACAAATATTAGTTGCTACAATGACGGTGTCATTATAGTAAGTTAATTATAGCAGTAGTACAACACATATTTTCAGGATTCAATTTGTAAATACATCCAAGGTAATACCTTAGTCTTGCTAAAAGTACATCTTTCATCCAGTTTTCTCATCTGTAAAATGGGATAATTATAGTATCTCTTCATAAGATTGTATTCAGGCACTGATAGAATTAATGGCCAAGTGAATTATATTTGAATTTGGAGAAATTCAGATGCTTTCATTTCAGCCTTTTGGATTTTCACATTTAAAAAACCCGTACATTTTTGTAAGAAATAAACTACCTTTAAAACTGTTAATGTTATGCCTTTGATAAGCCAAGATGTTTTAAAAGAAGCTTCCATTGTGTTTTGGTTTTTTGGATGACGGGAGGCACTAACAGATAAAATATTGCATTTCTGAATGCAATGTTATTTTTAATTTGTTAGAAATGATCTGGATAATGATGTGGAGGATCTCCTCATGAAGCATCCATTATCTCTTATTTATGCGAACACTCATCAATAAGAGAGCATATTCATAATTAAACATAGTACATTTTGAACTATAATCTTATTAGAGGAAAAATGAAAGTTCTCAAGTTGTTTTCCATAAAATTGTAAAAAATAACAATAAACCCTTGTTACTGGAACTTTCAACAATCCACCTTCTATTCTAGAAGAGCACAGTATTGAGTTGAAGTTGATGAACAACTGAGTAAATAATTTTTTACATTCATTACATGTTAAAATGAAAACCCTGTCAATATCTTGGGTTATATTAATTGTGGTATATAATTAATTTACCTGATCCTCTTTACTTTTTCTACTGCGACTGCTAGAAAATTTACATTAAATCTGTTGCTGTATTGGTGACCCACGTATTTATATTCCTATTGGATAGCATATCCTAGAAAAACTGGTCACTATAAAATGTAAATATGATCACCCCCCTATCTTTTTTATATCTTGTGTTTATGAGTAAGATCCAAATATCAAAGAACAATTGCTTGCTTGATCTCGATTTTGCTTATCCCTTGGTTTTCTTTTTCACCACATCCAGTGCCCCCATTTTGGTTGCGTTCTATATGATGTTAACCTAATTATAGACCTAGAAGGAATTCTTGAGGCAGTAACAACAACTTTCTAGACAATTTAGCTCTGAGCACATGTCAGAGGTTTATTATAACCTTCCTGCGTGGGAAAAACCTCTAGTGGGCCAATTTAAAAGTTTCTCTCCTAGTAGAGGCATGTATAGACTATAGATTAGACAAA